CGACAGAAACTAACATATATATATATTAGTTTCTCTCGTATTTCTGTAAGTATGCTATGTTTCCGATATATATATACCTGTGATGACAATATCCTTTTGTCCAAAAACTTTGTTTTAGACACAGTAAAATGACCATGTCTACCAAATACTCGTTGGAAACCATGTACACACACATCTTAACATTTGGTTCTGACATGTGTTGAATTTGTATGCACACTATTTCAAATGTACTGACAGTACAACCTATTTCCCTATAGTTTCCCTTTATTCGTTTGCCTCAGCAGTTACATGTCAGTATATGGTCTCTGACACCATCATTCTGTTGAACCCGTGCTGATCCGGGGTAGAATTAGTCTTCAGCAACCCATGCTTGTCGTAAAAGGCTACTATGCTTGTCGTATGAGGTGACTAATGGGATCGGGTGGTCAGACTCGCTGACTTGTTTGATGCATGTCATTGTATCCCGATTGCGTAGATCGATGCTCATGATATGAATCACTGGTTTGTCTGGTCCAGACTCGATTATTGCCAGACCACTGTTGTATATAGCTGGAATATTGCTGAGTGGGACTTAAACAACTAACAAACATTCTGTGGTAGGAACAGCATCACAAAGAACATCTGTGATGTAATGAACGATGGCTCATATCATCTATTGACGAAATGTTGCCATGGGAAGCTTTACAAAATAATGGCAACAATGGACCAAGTGGCATGAACTAGCCAATCAGCTTGAAGCTAAAATTTCAAAGCTCAGCAAAAATTATTAAAAAATAGTTGCACTGATATCCTACGAAAAATATATAACATTTATTGACCATATGTAAAAGAGTTTTCAAGCCTGATGAATCAACACAAATTTTTTAAATATGTTTGAGACAACATTTATTCATATCATAAAAATCTTCCAAGTTATATTATAAAAAAGTATATCCGTAAAACTTTATAAAAAAATAGCTGTTTTACTTAAATATAATTACAATTTTTTTAAATATCGAGCATTTGAAAATACATATGTGCAGGAAAGTCAAGTGGTCCTGGTCATGCCCCAAATGTTAAAACTTTTAAAGATTTAGGGGCCCTAGATTAAATTACTATACCAGCACACCTGAAGGACCGCAGGACCCTCCTGAATCTTAAACACTATATCTGTGTACAAGGTATGATTTTGTTTTTTTCTCTCCACTGCAACAACTGATAGCACAGCATATAAAAGTGGCTGGACCACATCCTTTCAGGGAAAATTAAACGTTTATATGGCAAAATTGGTGATCTGTGGTGTACATAAACAGCATGTAAACATGAACATTGCGTCACATGAAAGTACTTTTATTTCAATACGTCTTATATACATGGTATAAATTTGAAGCAAGTGATATGTATAAGCCTATTTGTGGAATATTTTTCCAATTGCACTCAGTGCAGTCTGCGTTTAAACGTAAGCTGCACAAGCCGATTTCAACCTGCACCAGCACAGTCTTGTCCTTGGGAAATCACACTCTGACGTAGTAGTCACAAACTGTTTAGTTTGAAAATGATTAGAAAAGTTACACATGTTCTAAATGTCAGCTGATATGATTGATGTCATGTCCTTGTTTGCAGCCATTGTGTTATTGCCGTGTGTCTCGTGTTGTCATGGTTTCATGTGACCAATATGCCACTGTTCTTTGATTCATAATCTTAACCTTTAAATTCAAACAGCCATAATGACTATCAAGCATATATATTATAAAGTCAAGTTTTAACAAGTGACAGTGACTGTGACAGAATTAATAATTCATACTTTAATTCATTTGTGTTATCAGGATACTTCTCTCACAAAGTATTTACTTTCAAGATAACAGAGACGCTGCAGAACATGTAGACAACTTCTTACTGCCGATGTACCAAGTCCTTGTATCAGGTGTCACACAGCCTTTGGTTGTACACAAGTCATGTTATGTGGGAAATACTGAAAATGCCCATAATTCTATAAAATTTCAAAGTACTGTGTGTTACAAATGTTATGTTTGGGATGACACTTTCTGAATGAGTGAGTTGGTTTTAACGCCCCTTTGAACAGTATTCCAGTTATATCACGGCGTGTCAGCTTAATGTGGGAGGAAAGCCCGAAGTAATGCAGGTCTCAGACGTTTACCACTTGGGTGAAACCCACGATCATGGGTATGGTGACTGGGCCACCCGTGCAACAAAGTCAGCGATCTAACCCACTCAGCCACCGAGGTTTCAACAAAAATGAAAGTCCGACAACTAGATCAGTCGTAGTCTAGATCACATATTTTGTGTACCCCTCTGACAAATGCATGGCTCCCATGGCCGAAAGCTATGACCACTTTCTAAATGGCATTGTGTGTTTATACCGTGTGTCAGTATAAAACATGTTTATCATACCAAAATGGCTTCCACAGAAAATATCACTTGGGTGAAATTACATCACAATGCTTTGCAGACCATTCTGATGTCATTGGTTACCATGATGTCACAATCAAATGTCATCTCATAAATGTAATTAATCTCTCTGCCACTGAAGCTGGTAAGCTATACATTTTACTCTAGAGATTTGGTTATTACTGTTAACAAATAGAAAAAATTAGAATAGAATGAGTTTGGATAATAAATAGAGAATTTCACTTGAGTGTCTTCTGAGATCAAATACATCAAGACGAGTTGATAGAAGTTATCAATATCCAAGGCTTGATGAGGACATTTTGACTTTTGTCAACGAGTCATGATATATCAGTGTCTTGTAGTTGTAATTTCATTACATCTTTCAAAGCTTACTGCAGTCAAGAGTGTTATCTTCAACTTGTCATCAATTCATTGTCATCAGGGCACAGATTATTGCATGACCAGGATAGTGCCATCAATCGTTACACGCCAAAAGTCAGCATTAGTTATTTTATAGCAGAACTCCTCAAACTAGGGTCATACAGACCCTGATACAAATATATCCAATACAGCCCATGCAAGTCTATAATGTTTGGCAAGTCTAAACTAGTGCAGTATCTGAAAATGAAGAGAATCTCTCGGCTCCTTTTTATGATTTTTTCATTCAGATAATTTAACAACTGTTTTTTTTTCTGTAAGATGTGTTTATTTCAGAGACCAGATGTTAGTCTATCCTCTAACTGGAGAGTCCGGCCATGGCAGCCAATGAATGATAGTTGACTAACAAACCATACCATTAGAGAGCAGAGACAGCTAGATCACATATCACAATCCAGACAGGGAGGCATGCATAGGGTGCTGGGGACCTGACCTGGAGTCCCAATGGGGAGACAAGCATGGGGTGCTTGGGACCTGACCTGGAGTCCCAATGGGGAGACAAGCATAGGGTGCTGGGGACCTGACCTGGAGTCCCAGTGGGGAGACAAGCATGGGGTGCTGGGGACCTGACCTGGAGTCCCAGTGGGGAGACAAGCATGGGGTGCTGGGGACCTGACCTGGAGTCCCAGTGGGGAGACAAGCATGGGGTGCCGGGGACCTGACCTGGAGTCCCAGTGGGGAGACAAGCATGGGGTGCTGGGGACCTGACCTGGTGTCCCAATGGGGAGACAAGCATGGGGTGCTGGGGACCTGACCTGGAGTCCCAGTGGGGAGACAAGCATGGGGTGCTGGGGACCTGACCTGGAGTCCCAGTGGGGAGACAAGCATGGGGTGCCGGGAACCTGACCTGGAGTCCCAGTGGGGAGACAAGCATGGGGTGCTGGGGACCTGACCTGGTGTCCCAATGGGGAGACAAGCATGGGGTGCTGGGGACCTGACCTGGAGTCCCAATGGGGAGACAAGCATGGGGTGCCAGGGACCTGACCTAGTCTCAATGGGGAGACAAGCATGGGGTGCCGGGGACCTGACCTGGAATCTCAATGGGGAGACAAACATGGGGTGCCGGGGACCTGACCTAGTCTCAATGGGGAGACAAGCATGGGGTGCTCGGGACCTGACCTGGAGTCCCAATGGGGAGACAAGCATGGGGTGCCGGGGACCTGACCTAGTCTCAATGGGGACACAAGCATGGGGTGCCGGGGACCTGACCTAGTCTCAATGGGGAGACAAGCATGGGGTGCTCGGGACCTGACCTGGAGTCCCAGTGGGGAGACAAGCATGGGGTGCCGGGGACCTGACCTGGAATCTCAATGGGGAGACAAACATGGGGTGCCGGGGACCTGACCTAGTCTCAATGGGGAGACAAGCATGGGGTGCTCGGGACCTGACCTGGAGTCCCAATGGGGAGACAAGCATGGGGTGCCGGGGACCTGACCTAGTCTCAATGGGGACACAAGCATGGGGTGCCGGGGACCTGACCTGGAGTCCCAGTGGGGAAACAAGCATAGGGTACTGGTCCCAATGGGGAGACAAGCATAGGGTGCCGGGACCTGACCTAGTCTGAATGGGGAGACAAGCATAGGGTGCTGGGGACTTTTTCAGACCTGGAATCTCAATAGGGAGAAAAGCATGGGGTGCCGGGGACCTCACCTGGAGTCCCAGTGGGGAAACAAGCATGGGGTGCTGGGGACCTGACCTAGTCTCAATGGGGAGACAAGCATAGGGTGCTGGGGACTTTTTCAGACCTGGAATCTCAATAGGGAGACAAGCATGGGGTGCTGGGGACCTGACCTGGAATCTTAATAGGGAGACAAGCATGGGGTGCCGGGGACCTGACCTAGTCTGAATGGGGAGACAAGCATAGGGTGCTGGGGACCTGACCTAGTCTCAGTGGGGAGACAAGCATAGGGTGCTGGGGACTTTTTCAGACCTCGAATCTCAATGGGGAGACAAGAATCAGGTACTGACAGGGAACACAAACTGCCAATGGGTAGATTAAAAAACATCAGACACTCAGGACCTATACTGCCCTGAACTACAACTGGGTCCCTATCAATAAAATCTGTATCAGAAATGTCCTTCAGGAAGTACCACTGGCATGTACAGCTTTTGACTGACGGCAATACTTGAGGCAAGTCCTGCTTGCCAATGACATGTTCAGATGGAATGAATACCTTCAGGTCTTGGGAGTCTGGCCTTGTTCTTTGGGAGCCCCGCTTCATGCATCAGCTCGAAAGCAAATCCCACATTGTGAACCTGAAAGAGAGCAACACATGAGTCTGGGGCTGAGAGAGAGGAGTGATGTGACATGGTCAGAAGGTGCATACAAAAACAATGTGATTAATATTACTGAGCACACAGAACATTGAAACCCAATCATGTCGTCTTATCATATATTTTTGTTGTTGTTTTAGACTGGTCATCATTTTTCCATCTTATCCCACTGGCCTGTAAATAATTGAATCTTGGTCAGATTTGTTTGGTTTCTTGTTTAATGACACACTCAGCAATATTCCACCTATATGATGGCGGTCTGTTTAAATAATCAAGTCTGGTCTAGACAATCCAGTGATTGACATCATGTGCATCGCTCCACGCAATTGGGATACGATGACATGCATGCGTTAGTCCATTAGTCGCCTCTTACGACAAGCATAGTCACCTTTTATGGCATGCATGGGTTGTTGAAGACCTATTCTAACCCGGATCTTCACGGGTAGAATCTGGGTCAGAAGAACCAGTGGTTGACAGCATGAGCCTGCCCTACTGTTGGGGTACAATGTCACACAACCAACCAAGTCACAGAGCTTGACCTGATACCCATTTTAGTAGGCTTGTAGCATTCATCCAGCATCCCCCAAATCCCCATTTTAACTGAAGGTCACTGAAAACCTTAGCAACACGAGTCCACAAATTATGTCTACTACTGTAAATACCTTTGGAATGAATCTGACCAAACATTTCCCCAAGGGCTTTTAAAAGTAATTGAAACGAATATGGTGTGTCCGTGGGATGTGTGTGATGTCACATAAAAAATATGTTACTTATTTCAAGTCACAAGTCATTAGTGCTACTTTGTCATCACTTGTTCCCAATATTTAAATCCATATCACATAATCACTACATACGAAAGCATCAACATGTGAACCACACCCCTGGTCTAAATGAATGTACAACTTTCACAGCTACCTTGACTCTTTACAAAGGTCTCGCCACACAATAACTAATACCAAGATTCATTCACAAACAGTAAGTACTTGCTTCATGCTGCACTTTTATTGACAATGCCGACCTTGACCTTTGACATAAGTAATAGGGATCTTAAAATATTCCCTTGAGCTAAATATGAAATCCTTGAGATGTCTTAGCACTTCGTCATTAAGAAACGACCTGTGGAGATCCGGTGTTAGAATAGGACTTCGGCAACCCTGCCGTAAAAGGTGACTATGCTTGTAGTAAGAGGTGACTAACGGGATCGTGTGGTCAGGCTTGGTTGATGCATGCCATCGTATCCCAATTGTGTGGATCGATGCTATGTCAATCACTGGATTGTCTGGTCCAGACTCGATTATTTACAGACCGCCGTCACATAGCTGGAATATTGCAGAGTGCAGCGTTAAACAACAAACAAACATTAAGAAACAAAACACAACTTCAGTGAGAAAGCGTGTTCCACATGCTTGTGTACTAAAGTATTGAACCATATTACTGTCGTGCACTACTGCCTTGTCTAACATGGTGACAGATCTCTGATATATAACATAACAATATGTCCACTGCATGAAAAAGTCTTGCACAATATATAACGTCTTCTCCCATATGTGCTATGATGTTGTATATCACACAGGAACATGTCCCATATGTGCTACAGCTCGCCATATCAAATGTCTCCCTGGTATAGTATTGTATGTTAGTAGTGCCACTGCTCTGGTAGGGAAGTGAAGCATTTCCTACATGATGTCAGCGTTAGAAATTGGCACTACCAGTAGTCCTATAGTCCTTGCCAAACTGCCCAATAGTTAAGTTATCATAAGGACTGGTAGTAATGTGGCATTTTTAAGGGTTTCACTGTATGTTATCTTTATATCACTGTGATGTTAATACATGAAGACACTTGATACTAAATAGCTTTGACATGCTTCATGTTCATATAACCTACATGTGGAATATCTCCAGAGTGATCATTCAGTCAAGCATGAGTGTCAAGGGCTATTGTCAAAAATGGAGACATTTGAGGACCTTTGATAAAACATCTCTAGCAAACCTCAAGAATCAGAGGCTTCCCTTGAAAGTCTGATTCTGTGAACATTAACCAGACAACATCAGGTCCTCATAATTGTGCACAGCCCTATTTCCTCTATCCTGGGCCTACTTGTGCACACCCCCATTCCCTCTATCCTGGGACTAATTGTGCACACCCCCATTCCCTCTATCCTGGGCCTACTTGTGCACACCCCTATTTCCTCTATACTGGGCCTAATTGTGCACACCCCTATTTCCTCTATTCTGGGCCTACTTGTGCACACCCCCATTCCCTCTATCCTGGGCCTAATTGTGCACACCCCCATTCCCTCTATCCTGGGCCTAATTGTGCACACCCCCATTCCCTTTATTCTGGGGCTAATTGTGCACACCCCTATTCCCTCTATCCTGGGCCTACTTGTGCACACCCCTATTTCCTCTATCCTGGGCCTACTTGTGCACACCCCCATTCCCCCTATTCTGGGCCTAATTGTGCACACCCCTATTCCCTCTATCCTGGGCCTACTTGTGCACACCCCTATTTCCTCTATCCTGGGCCTAATTGTGCACACCCCCATTTCCTCTATACTGGGTCTACCGTATTTGACGTAATAAGCGCCCCGCTCTAATAAGCGCCCACAGCGATATTTGCTAATATCTTGCATGGCTAGTGAACAATCCCAATTAGCACCCTTTCCGATTGATTAATGTACACAAGACTTATTTATTCGTGTATAATACGCACTTGTGTGTTATATGCACCCTTAATTATGGGCAATTAAATTCTAGAAAAATATATCTGTCATGTATAATACGCACAGACTCTTCTCTTGTATCATTCAGGCTGTGAGCTTAACCACGGAATTTACGACCTTTCAACTCTTTCTTTTCTCACCAAAACTATATTCTAATAAGAACCCCCTATTTCTAATTTTGAGAGCGCCCTCGGTGCTTATTAGGGCGAATACGGTAATTGTGCATCCCCCTATTTCCTCTATCCTGGGCCTAATTGTGCACACCCCCATTCCCTATTTCCTGGGCCTAATTGTGCACACCCCTATTTCCTCTATCCTGGGCCTAAATGCGCACACCCCCATTCCCTCTATCCTGGGCCTAATTGTGCACACCCCTATTTCCTCTATACTGGGCCTAATTGTGCAGTACCCTCTAATTCCTCTATCCTGGGCCTAATTGTGCACACCCCTATTTCCTCTATCCTGGGCCTAATTGTGCAGTACCCTCTAATTCCTCTATCCTGGGCCTAATTGTGCACACCCCCATTCCCTCTATCCTGGGCCTAATTGTGCACACCCCTATTTCCTCTATACTGGGCCTAATTGTGCACACCCCTATTTCCTCTATCCTTGGCCTAATTGTGCAGTACCCTCTAATTCCTCTATAATGAGGCTGAAGTGCCCCCCCAGCCACCCCCACCCCTCCCCCTCAACCCACACACTTTGGGCAGTATCACCTGGAAGTATGGCTGTGACATAATTACACAGGTCAACAGGTAAACGCTGACTAAGTGTTGCCTTCCACCTCGGCACACTCCTCACGTAAGCAGGTCGATTGTTAAGCCTCCCTGCTCGAGAAAGCAAACATATCCCAACTCACGGCCACATTGCTAAAGCTGCACAATGGTGTGGCGATTGTTGTTGTCACATGGTCAAACCTCCCCTTTGTCGGACAGGAAGTCACACATTGTCTCATCCACGTTGTTTCAGGCCATGTATCTTAGCATGGTAACTGACTAGTGAGAGACCCAGGGGCGATATCCAATTACAACTCCCCCCATTTCATATATCTGGAATATTGCTGGGTGTGGCGTTAAACAACAAACAAACAAACATTTCTTAAAGACTGTTCAAACTTGTGGAGGAAGCGATGGATTCCAGCTTAGCTGCACTTAAGAGTGATCATTGCCACAATGTTCTTCATGTTATTATGGGGTGGAGTTAACCAAGTGGTTAAAGTGTTAGCTTGTCACCTAAACCTGGGTTTGATTCCCCACATGAGTGAAATACATGAAGCCCATTCTTGTTATCGTCCACTGCAATATAGCAAGAATATGGATAGAAATGGGTAAAACCAAGCTCACAAACTCAAGTCTGATTCCTGGAACTGTCTCCGAGTTCCTAGAGTTCTCAAATGCTTTGTAACAGACCACAAACAGATAAGATGTGCATATACATTGTGTACAAAGTACGACAACATGTCAACAGTTACACGGTTGTTACATACTATTTACAGGGAAGGTAATAAATTAAATATGTAAAAAGGATTGATTATCTCAGGTATGAGATACGGGTCAATAACGGCCAGATGCAGTTGTCAGGAACAACTGGCCTTGTCAGACAAAGCAGTAAGGTAACTGCTGGTCCAAGTACAAAGTGTTATGTAAATGAGACATGTTTTAAACATCAACATAAAGTGATGGCTGATCTCCTAGGACATGCTGGAATTTCCAGCACATAGCAAGCAATCATGGTTCGCTGCATCTGTCAAGTGTCAGATGAAAATTCTGGAAGAAAGGTCCATTTGAATCTTCATCAAACAAAAACAGTCCTTGAGAAACATGACTTTTGGTAATTAGGTACCGCAGTTCACCTTCCAATACTACCCAGGGCATAAACTGATTCTTCAATCATGCATCAGTGAATAAGTTAATCAGTCAAACCATTACACATCAAATGTTTCTTTAACACCTCATATTCTAGCTATATAATGGCAGCCTGTGAATAAAAAACCAGGCCATGTTCCACAAACTGATCGTAGCGCTACAACAGTCATAAGTCAATGCGAGTTGTGACAACCATAGTGCTAAGATCATTTTGTGGAAATTGACCAGACAAACCAATGATTGATATAATGAGCAATGAGGGTTGCTGTCAGAGTATGACGGACCACCTGATCCAGTCAGGCGAACTAGTGACTGATATCATGAATAACATCGCACACCATCGGGATATGATTACATGCAATCAACCAAGCCAGGGGGCCTGATAACCTGTTAT